AAGAAAAGAAAACAAACAAACATTTCGATCATGGATTACAAAAAATTCTATTATGGGTTACAAAAAACCAAAAAATTCGATCATGGATTACAAAAAAATCTATCATGGATTACCAAAAAAAAAAAAAAAAAAAAAAAAAAAAAAAAAAAAAAAAAAAAAACCGTAAACGGAATCGCCGATTCACTGTTCGGACTCGCCGATTCCGTACAGTGAATCGGCGATTCACTGTACAGAATCGTCCGGTTCTCTCTAGAACCGGACGATTTCCGATTTTTGGGCGATCCGGTTCTTTTTTCACTATTTCCGAGTCGAACCGAGGGAGTCCGGTTCGACTCGGCGTTTTTTAAAACGCTGGATTAAACAATAGACAGAGATATATTGCATTTTAGGCTTGATAGGTTTACTTCAAACACCATAGGAACAAATCAAATGGATCTCGCTGCTACTTTCTTAGAAAAGCTCAATCTAATTATGTAAGGACCCTAATGAAGTGCAAGATCATGTAGTTGCAAGAAATAGAAGTGAAAGTTGTGGCTATGTAGGTTTCCTGGGTTATAAATTCAAAATTTTCTTTTTCTAGTGTTATTAATGACGGAGTAATTCTAATTACAATTGCCAAGTACACAGGAGAAGCAGAAAATAAAACCTACCACAATCTAGGATTTTACTCTTATCGTCTCAAAAATAAAACTTTATTCATCAACTGAATTTTGAATTACAATATGAATCAAGAACAAAATAGTAAATTGAGAATTAAACTGGGCAGACATACTTCAATTTTGCCAAGGATTACCTCCATATGACTTATCACACCCCACACCCAATTACTGGACCGATAGCGCCCTAATCCTTAGGTCCTGCTTGAGCCCTCCAATATGGGAAGCACCTTGGCAATAACCTTTGACTCTAAAATGTGGCTAAGAGCATGAACTCAAAACTTAGGGTTTTCTCTTCAATCCATTAACCTTGGGGCATGTCGCAATGTGGCGGGCATGTCACAATGTGGCACCACCCATGAACACCAACTCGGTTGGGCATGCCCCTCTCACAAAGCACCTAGGTCGAGCGCCACCAAAAGTCTCCTATGGGTGGCTTCCCATCCTACGAGGGAGAAAGGTAGATAGAGAGAAGAGGAGAGATAGACATAGTGGCAAGGAGGCAAGAGATGAGAGGAGAAAGAGAGGTCAGAAAACTGAACTGAACTGAGGGCAACAAAGTAGGAAACCCCTTTATAGAGGGCCTCATGGCCTAGGATATGCCAACTTCTATTAGGACTTAACTTTGACCTTTGGAATCCCAGGTAACCTGTGAAGTGAAGAGAATTAAATATGAGTCATCCATTTAATAGATCAACCATTATGATTAGGGAGAAACTCTAGAACCTTTATCCCTTGGATCCTTGACCCATATCCACTTCTAGTCCAACTAGGGTTAGATCTTCTACAAAAAAAACAAGTTCCCTTTGTTGGTGGTATAAAACCAATGGGCTAGAAATGCAATCTTTTAAAAAAAATTCATTGCAAGGGTTTAAATGCATGAATATCTCAATACAAAACCACAATACATATATTCCAACCTACAAACATGGTTTATACACATTTGAATAATATAAATTTAACCCTAAATCCTGTATTCAAAAATACAATTAAACTCAATACAATATCCAAATACTCACAATGTACATCTCTACAACATAAACATGATCCTCATAATATATCAGTCTTATATACATCATTATCATAATAATCCAATGAGATTGCAATTCACATAAGTAATAAAGCATAGCATTAAAGCTCATACCGCAA